CCCCACAAGCAGGGTCACTGTTTGTTGGTGTATAACCCCACAAGTAGGGTCACTCAACGAACCGGTTCTATCAATAACATGTCGACATGTGCTAGAGTTTATAACCTCCCCCACTAGCAGGGTCACTAATAACATGATCACATCGGAGACAAAACAGGCAGAAGTTAACAGGAAAATCACAATTCACAATCACTTTAAGATCATCAGGACAGTCACTTAAATTTCAAGTAGGCATGCTCAATTTAATGAAAAGCATAAAACATTTCACTTCAAATCAGTCATACTTGTGTAAAACGGGTTTAGTCCCGCCACCACTTCAAAAACAAATCAAAACATGCTTTTAAAAATCAAAGGGCGTTACCATAATTTACTTACCTCACTCTGCAAAACCGAGCACTCAATTCACGTACTAAACTGACAGAACCATCAAGAACCTAATCAAAACACCTCAGAATTAATACTGGACTATCACAAATTCACACTGAAATTATCATTAGGATCATTCCTAATCACAATGCTGTTTCCATAAATCTCCACATTATCAGATATCTCCAAATTCGTTCTTATATCACAAACTAATCATTTAAATCCTCGTTAATTGTTAATCTCGGTGTGTGAACAGTGCCCGTGAACAGTGCCCGTGAACAGTAACCACGATGTAAACAGTATCTCTACTCCCACAAATTGGCCAAAACACTAACTAATCCACAGGATTTTCTCCAAAAATCACATAGCAATCAATTAACACTCAATCATATAAATTCCACTTGAATCAATGCTTAAATCTCATCCTAAAGTTACCGGAATTATCCCCCATTTTTAGCCAAATTCGGACATCACAAAGCAGCAACCTTAAATGGATAATTTAAGCCTTAAATGGCTGTCACATACCAGAATTTTCCAGCAAGAACTGGACCTAGCAGGGGGAAGAAGCCGGCGGCAGTGCAGGGGAGAAACTCACGGATCTACCCAAAATTGAAGGAAATAAGAGCAATCAAAGTTAACCCAAGCCAATTCAAGCAAGAAAAAAGGAAATTAGGGGCTGTTCTTACCGAAAATTCAAAGCAATTCGCCCCCACAAAGCAGGAGCAGCCGGCGGTGAGGAAGGAAGAACAGAGCAGATCCGGATTTCCAGAAAGGGGGGGAGAATTTCTGGGTTCCAAATCAGGTTCTTGGGCAAGAAAGAAGGAGAAATTCCAAGCTTTACCGGTTTTTCAAGGGAGGAAGTCGCCAGCAGCTTAGGGGCTTTGTTCGGCTGCAGCGGGAAGAAGAAGAGCATAATCGGGAAATGGCTGGGGAAGAAAAGAAGGAGAAATCAAGCTTATCTCACCGGTTTCCTCAAAGGCTGGCTGGGTTTCTTTTTTTTTTCCTCTCGGGTTGCAGCGGGAAGACAAGAGCAGAAACGGGCTGGAGAAGAAAGAGGAAAAGGGAGAAAAGAAATAAGCCATCCTTATCCAAATTCTACTCTTTTAAACCCCTTGACTTTTGAAATATTCACTATTAAGCCCCAACATAATATTTCCTCTCATAAAAGTCCTTAACTTAATGCTAAATATCACAAAATTTCGGGGTATTACAGCAACAGTAATCATTTTGGGGGGGGGGATAATCTGTCCCAACAACATTCCTGTCATGCTTGCCAATGTTTCTTACACAAAGAGATAGTGTTTGGGACGGATACTCTCAAATAGTAGCAATTTAAAGGACGTAGATGAAGAGATGAAAAGTTTGGAATTCTTGCTAGCATGTTTTGGACGAATTATCTATCTGAGTTAAAATTGCCTCTATATTTACCCTCAGCAGCTAAACAACTCATTTCCTTTTCTTCCTCTCTTTCTCCTTTTTTTTTTTTCCCTTCTCGTCAATTTGTAGATTTCCTCTCTTCTCAAACTTTTTCTTTTATCCAACATTCTTCATGTCATCAATCATGCTTTCATTTCAAGAGTCATTACTTCTTTTCTATTCTTTCTAACATATTCTAACATTTTTTTACATAATTCTGGTTAAACTAATTAACTAATTGCATTTTTTCTTAGCAAATTCATATCTACACAAAAGGATCCAATTGAAGAGATAATTGGCACTCTATTCCCCTATATATCAATGTTAATTTTTTTGTTAATTAAATTCAAGAGGTATATATATTAATGAATTTCTATTTATTTTGCAGGAATTATTTGTTAAGAATTAGTAATAAAAATATTGTGGTTTGTAATATATACAATATATTTTTCTTGTGAATTAATATTTTGCAAAATTTAGTTCTTTGTTGAATTCATATATTAAGGAATAAATATGTTTCCTTTCATTTTTTAAAATTCTTTCGAATGTATAACTAATTATTAAGAATATTAAAACTATTTTTTAATTGTAATTTGTTGTTTACTTTTAATAATTAAAATTATAATTATTTGAAATGTATAAGTAATTATTAATTATACTCAAATTATTTTATATTAATATAATTTGTATCATATATATATATTAATAAAATTTATTTGTTATTATTTTGTTATCGTATCAATATTAGGACTGACATTAAAATACTTTATATTGTATAAATACCAATTCTGATAAAAATAAAATAGTTAGTTTGAAAATAATTAGTTTGAAAATAATTAGATTTCTTTTTTCAATTGTCACATTAATTAAGACGAATAATCGAACTCAAATGTAAAATTTTTCAAAAGTTGTTAAATCGTCAAATGAAAATTTTTAAAATCACAAATGTGCACCTTTCTTTTTAGGGGGGGGACAGATTCTCTGTCTTAACCAAAAGTGTTGTAAGGGGAGGTCTGTGTATTTGTTAAGCTCAACCTTCTCCTAAATTTGTTGAGTTTGGTTATTTAATAACTGAGGCAAGACTTAAGTCAAGCTTTTCCCAGTTGCATGATAATTATAGTGAGCATGCCTTCACCTAGTCCTCCATTCCGAAGATCATCGTCTTAGTGGATACGTCAGATTCCAATTATCTTGTTAAGTAGGTCACGTGGATACCTCATTAATGGCTATAAATACCCTTAAAGGTCACCTCCAAAAGGTAATTAAAACCAACTTAGAGCTTCCTTTCCATTCTTTTTTAAGAGTAGCTGATTTAAGCATTGGAGTGTCTACCTTGAGGACTAATCTCAAGGCTTTGCAGGTCTATTCGAAGAGAAGGCTTGGACTAAAAATGAGTTGTTGGTTTGTTGAAATTACATTTTGGCGTCGTTTGTGGGAATCTAAACTAAAAGCTTTGCTGTTTTCTTCCTAACATGGTTAACACATGATCTGCTCGTATTGAAAGTCAATCTCAACCTCTTGGCCAAGGTCAAGCACAGAATACTAATAATTTCTTACAACGTACTCTAAACCTAGCTACTCATATGGAACAACATACTAAAGGAGGCGATGAGAACCAACCTCAAAACCCAGCTTCTATTCCTACCTAAGGAGATGTAGTAGCGGCGCAGCTTGTAGCAATGCAACAACAATTTAGAGTTTTTTAGTTAGTTTTAGCTTGATTTTTGGCCAGAAACAACCCTAGAGACCCTTTCATCATCTATTGAATCCAACTTAACAACCTTCAATCTAGTAATAGGAGCCACACAATACTCATTCCAATGATAATAGAGATGCTCCAACCCTCAATGAGTCCCAGGGTCAATCTTATGTAGTTCCACCTCAGCTAGTTTTGCCGAATGATGTTACTAGACATCTAGATAGTTTGGAAAAAATAATAGCTGAGTAGCGTGGTGTGCCACCCCTTCAAAATAATGCTAATTCCATGCCATACCTATTGAACACCAACATCACTCAGGAACCCTACCTAGTTGCTTTCAAGATACCTCAGTTTGAAACATATGATGGAACCAAGGATCAAGATGACCATTTACATGCTTTCTACTCCTACATGCAAGCTCAGAATGCTTCAAATGCATTAATGTGCAAGATATTTTCTTTAACCTTTCGAGGTAATGCTTGAACATGGTATTATAGCTTACCTCCAAGATCTGTTAGCTTTTACATGGAAATGGTAACTACCTTTGTTACAAAATTCTCCAGCAGAAGGTTAATCAAGAAACCACACTTGAGCTCATGAGGGTGATATAGAGAGAAAGGGAATCTTTGAAAAATTATATGAACAGGTTCAACAATGTAGTTATTGAGATCAATTCCTTTGATCAGGCTATTGGGATTACTACCATAATTCAAGGACTAAACCACAAGTGATTTTGAGATAGTCTAATCAAACATCCTATTGCCACTTTTGATGAAGTAAATGATCGATCTTGACAATTCATCACAATTGAGGAATATGCTTTGTCTTGGAAATCAACACTTGTTGAGAACTAGAATTTGGCTTGGAGGGGAAGAGGACAAAGTAGGAAAAGGATGAAGGTATTTCAAAACTGAGGTCCAATCTCCGCTTCTATACCCAGATTTGGGAAAATCGAATTAATAGTTTCCCAACCATCATTTGTAAAGCCACCAATCACATGGACTCCTTTTAATATGTGAAGGTTGTAGATTCTAATGTAGATTAAGAATACGGTGGAACTGAAGAGACCAACCCTAATGAAAAGCTTCGTTGCTACACCTTATCATACTAGGTATTGTGATTTCCACCAATATCATGGTCATACAATATAAGAGTATAATAATTTAAAGTCTGAATTATAAGGTTTGGCTTGAAGAGGAATGTTGAATGAGTACATCCAAAAAATAGATCAATCTAAATTTGTCAAAAAAGAGGATTTGCAATCTTAAGGATCCCGTAATACGAACAGCAGAGAGGGAATGGGGTAGCAAGCGCCACCACCTTTTCCACCTCTGGAAAGAATTATCCATATGATAACTAGTGGGCTCAAGGTAGGAAGATTAAGCTTTAAGCACTGGAACTTGTATGTTAGGGAGGTTAAGCACCAGAATTGAGTTTAGAAAAGGAAGTTTGATGATAGAAACTAGAAGAATTAGCCTATAACTTTCACATTTGTCGACCTCGACAGGATTGTAACACCTCACAATGACCCATTGGTTACCTCTATCATAGTTAACAATTGCGAGGTACAACGTGTCCTTATTGACGCTAACGGTACACTTGACATAATGTACTATCACTACTTTGAGAGTCTAGGGACCCAACTCTGCTCCAAAAGTATGATGACCCTATATATAGGTTTAATAACTAGCCAGCAGTAAAGGAAGTACTTACACTCAGCCTAGCATTTTGTGGAGGTCGAACTTATGTCACTTTATCAGTTTGTCTCCTAGTCATTAAAATGGCATCATCCTTTAATATTGTTATCGGTTGACCCACCTTGACAGAAATTTAGGCCATTGTGTTACAATCTCACTTATGCATGAAGTTTTCTACACCCATGGGGGTAGCAACATTAAAAGTCAATCAAGAGGTAACTAGACATTATTGTATGACTTTCATCACATAACCTCAAAAGAACAAAAGCACAAGCTAGACATCAGAGCCCCAAGCCCCAAATAACCAACAAGTAATGGGAGTGGAGTTAATTGATAATCGACCTAATGATGGAACCCAAGTTGCCCTAGTGGAAGATGTAGAAGAGGTGCAGATTGATGACAGAGATCCAGCTAGGACAACTCAGATTGGGACTAAGTTAGATCCAAAAGACAAGGAAAAGTTCGTTGCCTTCCTCCGAGCTAACAAAGATGTTTTTGCATAGACATCAGTAGATATACTAGGAATTCTGACTTTAGTAGCTATGAACTGATTAAGCACCAACCCCTTAAAGAAGCGAGTGACCTAGAAACGGCATCTCTTTAGGGGTGAGAGACTGCAAGTAATCAAAGAAGAGGTTAAGAAGCTTTTATGAGTTGGGTTCATAAAAAGAGTTGATTATTGTGAATGGGTAACAAACCTTGTTTTGGTTAAGAATGCCAACGGCAAATGGAGAATGTGCATCTACTACACTGATCTCAACCAAGCCTGCCCTAAAGATTGTTATTCGATGCCTAATATAGGTAAGTTAGTTAAAGTAGCTTCTGGAAATGAGAGATTAAGCCTCTTAGATGGATATTTAGGCTATCATTAGGTCCCAATGGCTCATGAGGATGAAGAGAAGACTTCCTTTTATACTGGAGATGAAATATATTGCTATGTGACGATGCCCTTCGGTTTGAAGAATGTTGGTGCAACCTACTAGAAGATGGTGACCATCGTATTCCGATCTCAGATTGGCATGAACTTGGAAGTTTATGTTGATGACATCATCATAAAAATTTTGAAGTTTGAGGATTATTTGGTTGACATTGAGGAAACATTCAATAATCTAAGGAAGAATAGAATGAAGTTGAATCCTACCAAGTGAATCTTCGGTGTGGAGTCAAGAAAGTTCTTGGGCTTTATGATGTCTCAAAGGGGGA